CATTTTTTAAGATATAAACTCATTTCGATGTTACACTCATCAAGACTTTTCATTTGAGTACCCACATCAATTTTTTATATATTTATATATTTATATATATGTATATATGAAAAATATATCAAAAATCCATGTGGGTACTCAAATGAAAGCTCTTGATGAGTGTAACATCGGGATGAGCTTATATCTTTAAAAATGTCAATAGTTCACGAGATACAAGGTCATTTCTTAATAATGTATCTGAAAATAGAATATTTTCGAATGCAGCCTAAATACTTATTTATCAGAAAAAAGTGTATTTTTTTTACAATAAAATAAATTATTCGTTAAATTAAACAATATTTTAATTTGAAACTTATTGAAAATAATTCATACTTTTTTTAATGTGCAATTTTTTTTTTTTAATTTATATTTATATTATCCTTCATCTCTAACATGTATACTTTCGCAACGTAATAATAAATCTAAGTATAGAGTATAATATACGAGTAAAGAAGAAAAATAAAAACGTGACTATAAAAAAGGCGTCGTAAAAGTAAAATTCAATAAAAAAAAAAAGCGTCATCTGATTACCGATATACAAAGAAGCACTTTCTGGTCTGACGTGGTCGTCTATGTAAGTAGTACCAAGTGTAAAGAGAGGCGAACCACCGCAACCAAGCAGTAGCTGCGCCAGCACAAAGAGCATAACAGGCCCGGCAGTTGATGGCGAGCCTTGAATACAATTGTCACCACGTAAATTATTGTGTGGTGCCAGTGGTGGTGATGATAACCCCGATGAAAGTCGACCTAAATAATTTTTATAAATTAAATTCTATTTATTTTACAACTATAATTTATAAATAAATAAACAAACTATTTATTTAGTCTTATTAGTAATTAGATTATGTAATGAAAAATAAAATTAAAATGTTAAATAAATAGTTCCAGTGAACCAAATAAATCAAACATTATAATTAAAGATGATATAACACATAAGTCAAGAGCAATTAATTACCCAGTCCCATATCTTGCTCACGCAGAGATACTACACGGCAAATGTTATCAGAACTGGAGTTGTTAGATGCTGTCGTCAAGTTGGGCTCCGCAACAAAGTGGGGTATCATGAAGATCATTGAACCGAGTCCCATTATCACTGCACCTGAATTGTATAATTTAGAAAATTTTTATTTTCAATTTATTTATTTTATTTATTGCTATTATCTAATATTGTAATTATTATAATTATTGATACTGACCTATGGCAATCCAAACAGGTATATGTCTGCGGCTACCAAGATAACTGACAAATATAACAGTGATAACATTCCCGATTTCATATGAACTAGCAATGAGACCTGATAAACTTGATGGGATCTCAAATCTTTTTTCAATTGTTGTGATTACTGAATTTATGTAACCTGAGCTTAGTGCTTGCTGGACCGTGACAAGGAATGACAGTAGAAACACGAAAACCTATTAAATAATTATAAAGATAGTATTAATAATTTATTTTATTTTTAGTATAAAATTAAGAATATTATATTGAAATGTTAATAAATTTTTGAAACTGTATTGACGTTAAAAATCAATGTCTGTTTTTTTTTTGCTCAAAATTTATTTTCAAACTACTTGAAAATATTTTTTTAAAATAATTTTACTTGGTATATTATACCGATTGTATAGTTAGAATCATTTTTTTTATAATAAAAATTTTTGTTTAAGGAAGAAATTTTATGAATATATATATTGGTAGAATAATAAATAATTAATTGTTTAAGTTTTAGGCTTTGAGAGATACAGTAGAATTTTTTTTAATTGTTAATTATGAAATTTTTTAGAAAATAAATTAAATTGATAAATTTTGGAGTCATTGATTTTTTTTTAAATAAAAAAAAAAAATTATCATGATTGATGTAAGATTTATCAATATTTAGAAAGATTTTTAATTGAAATTGTTATTCAATATTTTTTAATGAATTTTTTCATTAAAAAATTTTAATAATAATAACAAATATTGATTAAAAATTTCTGAAGAGATTTGAAAATTTTTATTAGACTTTAAGAAATACATTAGAATTTTTTTGGTTAATTATGGAATTTTTTAAAAAATATATTTAATTAACAAAATTTTGAATCATTACTTTTTTTTTAATTTGAAGTTTTTGAAAAAAAAAAAATTTATGATTTATCAATATTTAGAAAGATTTTGAATCAAAATTGTTACTTGATATTTTTTAGTGAATTTTTTCATTAAAAAATTTTAATAATAATAATAATAATAATACTAACAATAGAAGTTATTTATAAAACAAGAAATAAAAAGTTTGTAAATAAAAAATTTTAAACAGTGTCTTAAACAATAATTGTTAGAAAAAGTTATAACTTATATATTCATACCAAAATTGATTTTCTATCTGAATAATAGTAACTCAGTAATAACTATACCACAGATAATTTTTCTTTTTAAAATGTGCGTTAAACCTTACGACCTTGATACAGTTATATATTACTACTATCCATTTTTAACTCAATACTTTTTTTTTTTTTTTTTTTTTTTTTTTTTTTTTATAAATGTAGTAAAGTAAATTAATATATAATAAACCTTAACATTTATTCTCAAGTTTTATTTTAATACCAGATAAATATTAAATATCATTATTCGGTCGCATAACACAGAACCAAGTTAAAAATGAATAATTTCAACAGATAATAGAATATTAACAATCGACAAGTGAATTACCTTTATCGTAGCGAACTTCTGTATAAAGGCTGGTCTACAGCTTAATATACCACAGTCTTTGGAGTCTGGATTAATGGGTGGTGTTTGCGGTCGCTCTTTCTCCGTTCTTCATCGACATGCAATCAAAAGTTATTTTATTATTATTATAAATTATTATCGATTCCACACCTGCTATCTTATTACCCAACAGTCTATTCAATTTAAAGTTACATTGATGAAAATTGTCAACTAAAATTATAATTAATAATTGATTAGAAGCTATTGAAATTATCGATTAAGAAAATTCATTAGCTAAGTGAAAAAAAAATTAATACTAGCAACCTGCAGTCATTGTGTGACTGCCAAGAATTGCAAAATATAATAACTAAAATTTTGCATAATTATGTAATGACTATTGTTAAAGTGTACTGTACTTTCTTAACTATTGACATTTATAAAGATATAAGCTCATCCCGACTGTTGACTCATCAAGAGCTTTCATTTGAGTACCCACATGCATTTTTGATATATTTTTCATATATACATATATATAATATATATAAAATATATGAAAAATTGATGTGGGTACTCAAATGAAAGGTCTCGATGTGTGTAATGTCAGGGTGAGCTTATATCTTTAAAAATGTCAATAGTTCACAAGATACAAGGTAATTTCTTAATTACGTCTCTAGAGATAAAGTATTTTCGAATGCAGTCGAAATATTTATCATAATAAATTAACTATTAATGAGAATCATATAAAAATTGGAACTGCACAAATTCAAATCAAGACCTTTGCAATGACACTAAATTTCACTAAAAAAAAAACAATTTTGTCATGTGACTATCCTGGACACAAAATTTTTCGTATTCTTTTAATAATGTAGATTAAAGTTCCTGTGTAAAAAAATGATGAGTTGGATTTTTTTTCGAGCACTTGAACCATAATGACCCCTTAAATTAAATTAATTTAATAAAATTAAAGAAAAGAAAAATGGTTTTACCTTTAACATCTTTTCCGTAGCCGCTGTCGTCATTTTTAACTTCCTTTTTTAAATCCTTATTAGCTTCCTTTTCTTTGGCAATCGCCGACTTGTTCTTCTCGATGATCTTAATCTTCTCTTTCTCGTGCTGAAGAGTCTTGGGAAAACTGAAGAATGGTATTGCCACGAGAATAAGTAAAAGACCGCATAATAAAAATCCACCCCACCACATTCCGACCCATCTGTGATCGCCGGGATCTAAATGGTATTATTATAATTAGTTTCTTAAAGACTAAGTAATGCCATTAAGGATATCCTCTTGGTAACCCCTTTGAAGATTCTCCGACTCGAGGAATTTTTATTACTACCCTTTAATTTCATTTTTTGGTTAAATGCTATTTTAATTTGCATGGGAAGATATCCTTAATATTAAATTTATTTATAATAAATGCTTTTTATTAAATACCTATGCTAATTATATTAGCTGAAAATGAATCCATGTGAAAGGAGAGAAGGTATGCGCCTAATAGGAATCCCAAGACTGGTCCAAATGCTGCCATACTGTACATACATCCTGAAAAATATTATTTAAAGTTATAACATTTTTATTTTTATTGAAAAATAAATCTTTAACTTGTAAAATTTTCAAATTGAATTTTGTAAATATTTTTAGTAAAATTTAAAACTGTTTTTAATTTTTAAACTTTCAAATTTATAAAGACAAATATTAGAGTATGATAATTTTATAGTAGTATCTTGATAAAAATCATCAAAATAAAAAATAATAATTTTACAAGTTAAACATACATTATATAAATGATAATAAATATTGTCCTTTTAATTGAGTAAAATATTACAATCTAACGCTTATGATTTTGAATTATACGAAAAATTTTTTTAATAAATTAAAAACAATATAATTTTGCTTTATTAAATAATGACTTTTGTTAAATTGCACTGTAATTTTTTGACGTTTTTAAAGATATAAGCTCATCCCGATGTTACACTCAGCAAGAGCTTTCATTTGAGTACCCACATGTATTTTCATATATACATATATATAATATATAAATATATGAAAAAATGCATGTGGGTACTCAAATGAAAGGACTTGATGAGTGTAAAATCGGGATGAGTTTATATCTTTAAAAATGTCAATAGTTCACAAGATATTTGTTAAACTGCATTGTACTTTCTTAAATATTGATGTTTTTAAAGATATAAGCTCATCCCGATGTTACACTCATCAAGACCTTTCATTTGAGTACCCACATCAATTTTTTATATATTTATATATTTATATATATGTATATATGAAAAATATATCAAAATCCATGTGGGTACTCAAATGAAAGCTCTTGATGAGTGTAACATCGGGATGAGCTTATATCTTTAAAAATGTCAATAGTTCACGAGGTACAAGGTCATTTGTGAACTAGTGACATTTTTAAAGACATAAGCTCACTCCGACATTACACTCATCGAGACCTTTCATTTGAGTACCCACATCAATTTTCCATATATTTTATATATTTATATATAATATATAAATATATAAAATATATGAAAAATGCATGTGGGTACTCAAATGAAAGCTCTTGATAAGTGTAACATCGGGATGAGCTTATACCTTGAAAAACATCAAGAGTTAAGAAAGTACAGTACAATTTAACGAAATTCATTATTTAATAAAGCAAAATTTTATTTATTTATACTTTACAAGTCATGTCAGTCAATTAGTGACTGCAAAGTTGCTAGTAATCATTAATTATCAAATATCACTAATTTTTATTTCTTATCAAATATTTCGTTTCTCGTGTCATAATTCCCACACGATCGACCGCTGGTTTTCCACTCAACGCATCTACCTGAGCAGCAATCGTCGTCCTCCTCACACTAATTATTCAAACGATAATAAATAAATAAATAAATAAATTAATTAATTAGCTTCAAATATTAAGAAAATTTATTCAAAATTATTAAATTTAATATTTTATTACTTGTGCGTGTGTTGTTTTGCAATCTGTAGATTCGAATTGGCGTACGGCTAATCCAATTGAAATTAAAAACATCACGACAATAAATGTAAATTTTAGCTTCATTATTTTTTCTCGTCGGTTGAATCTAAAAATATTTGTTAATTTAAACAATATTAAATATATATTTTAAAATAAATTTATTGAATTAGTAATTACCAATGTACAAAGTATATTTCTTCAGAGTGATGATAGTTGATTGATATAGCATCAATTTTGTGCTCAGTATTTATACGACTTTAATCACAAATTATACTCCCCTCTTTAATTATTTTGACAAAATGACGAAAAGAAAAAATTCAGGTAATATTTTATAATTTATTTTTAATATTTTATTATTTTATTATTATAAAAATAGTTATCTTCATAGTTTAATTTTATTTATTCACTTTTTTTTATATGAATTATTCACAAGCTATATGCCTGATTTTTTTATTAAAGTTTTTATTAAAAGAAAATTTTTTTTTTACTATTATAATTATTTTCAAACCATGTTTAAAATTAAAATATTTTCAAAAAAGTTTTTTGTCATCAAATTCAAGAATTTACTATTTTTTTTAATTTGTTTTTTTTTTTTTTTTTTTTTTTTTAAAAAAAAAACAA